ACATAATTTCCTTCAACATCATTCTAATAACATTAAGATGCTAACTCCTAAAAATCGTCTTTTAGTAGCAGTCGCCTCCTCATATCACCGCTTGCCTGGGCACCCCAAGTCTGAAATGTGTAATTTTCCATCAACCACATGTGTCAAGGCAATCTGCGCAGAAATGGACCACTCTGTTCAAACGCGCTTCTCCCTCTGGTTGTAAAACCAACACACCAATCCCAGCCATGTGTTCTGATCCAACTTCACCTCCAAAGATTAGAGGGTGCGAAACCTTCTTTAGGTAGAGATAATAAACACACCAGATACTTCGCTAAGTATTGCTTTGCTATTGTATAGTACACATTTGTTGCCACATTTGACGCTAATCAACCACAACACCGTTAGAGTGATGTGACATATTCGAATCACGTAAGTAATTATAAATGATCTCTTTGTGGAGGTCGTAGTAAATAGCAATGTCAGCTCAAGGCCTCATTGCATCAATCAACACATCAACCAATCAACCGACCAGTTAGTTAATCAGTTAGTCAAGTGCCACGTCATGGTCACGAAACCGCCTACAATAGTGACTTCACCCCACCGTAGTGCCAGAATGCAACCACCTTCCCTCTCACTGTAGTGATCCAAATCACAGGACATCATTCGCATACACTAGTGAGCGTCAAAACCACTTGTGTGACCTAACCAAGGGTGAAGGGTCAGTGAAGGCTGCTCTCACTGAACAATGACGAGTTTTCGTAGGGAGGCATGATGGCACTGACTGCTTGCCATGCCCTCACTCAACCACCGACACCATCGGTCGATACCCACGTCGCATCAAAGTGTTCACGTCACCACCCTTCCTCCTTTCACACCCACTTTGCTTCTCCCCAAAACAGGACTGGAGATGACAGATACCCACATTTCCTATCACTCCACATTCAATGCTACTGCCATTGCTACCATCATGAACACGCGTGCCTTCACGATGTGTTCACCACCAAATCAAATCCAAGTTGTGCATACACTGAGTCACCCTTCATTCCACGCTCACGCACACCTCACAGACTTCATTCCACCTCTCACAATTCCAACTTCGTGTCTCGTCCTCTCGCCTCGCCATCACAACCTCCAATCCCACACATCCACACCCGCACCCATTACCCCTTCACCCTCACACCCACATCACCAGACAAGTGTTCGCAACACTGCAGAATTTCACTTCTGTTCTCTCTCTCACACACACAACAACCTCAGACAGTACAACTTCATGTAGTTCGTCCATGCAGTAAGCCTAGCCAACTTCACCCATGGCACCACCGTCATCGCCGGCCTGCACCAACGCAGCCTCATCCGAGTCAGCTGTCACCTGCTCTGCATCCTTCACGCTCTCACACTCCGGAATCTCCAAAAACATCCGAATCAATGCATGAATCGTGTTGGTGTGAGTCTTCGGCTCCTCCAACACAAAGCCCGAATCCAACAGTGCTGTGTTATACAGTATTTCCAACATATCTCTGCTTATCTTGTTCGGCATACCCTCAGTGGATAGCATCTTCTTCAAACCAATTATTATCGAGTCGTTGGCATTGATCTCCAAGTGCTTCTTTGCACTATTGTTCCGTAAGGAGTGGGGATTTCGCAGGGCCTGCGCCTTCCCGATTCGCTGCATATTGGCAGACCAACCGAAGGTGGAGGTGACGACACAACACGGCGACGTGGTTAGTCTACTTGACACTCGTACGCTCTCAACTCTCTCCCCCAATATCTCCTTCATCTTCCCACAAGTCGACTCGAAATCAGCCACCACACACTCCATCCACTCCCCTTGCGTCGTCGTCTTCCCCTCCTCCTCCGCCACCACCGCCTCCACCTTTTCCTCTGGCAACTGCAGATCCAGCCTCGACACACACACCAAACTCTTGCCCAAATACTCAGTCATCGCATTCACCACATACTCGTCCATCGGATCCACCATTAACAGCACCTCAACATCACGCTTCTTCAGTCCCTCCATGAAGACCGAGTCACTCACGCTCGCCATGCTCTCACCAATCATGCAGTAGATGTCACTTTGACCCTCCTTCATTCTACACACGTACTCCCTCAGACCAATCATCTCATCACCGCTCTTCGACGAGTAGTAGCGCAACAGATTGGCTAGCTTCTGCCGATGCCCTCTATCCTCATACACACCCAGCTTTATGCTCCTTTGGAAATTTCCATAGAATGCACTGTAGGCCTGTGCATCCTCCGCCATCTCCTGCATCAACTCAATGCTCTTCCTCACCAAGTGTTTCCCAATCGCTCGCACAACACTACTCTCTCGTATGGCCTCACGACTGAGATTCAGAGGCAGGTCTTCCGAGTCCACAACTCCAATGAGGAAGTTCAAGTAGTCAGGAATCAGGCTCTCGCACTCTTCTGTGACCAATACACGTTTCACGTACAGCCTGATGTTGTGTCGCCTTCCGTTTCTGGCAAAGTAGGCTGCAGGAGGACGTCTCGGCACGAACAGCAGTGCACGAAACGACAATTCACCCTCAACTGAGAAGTGCTTCACAGCCATGTGGTCCTCCGAATCACAGCTCAACCACTTGTAGAACTTGCCGTACTCCTCACTGCTGATGTCCTCTGCACTGCGCATCCACAGTGGCTCCATCCTATTCAATACAACTCCATCTACTACCTCCTCATCTCTCCTCCACTCCTCGCAGTCCATAACACTCCGCATTCCTTCTTCATCACAGCACAATTTTATCGGGTAGGCGGTGAATTCACAGTACTTCCTCACCATCGCTTCAATCACGTGTGGCTCCAGGTACTCCACACACTGCTGCCTCTTCATGTGAAGAATCACCTTCGTGCCACGCTTCAACGTCTCCTCATTCCATGCACGAATGGTGAAAGACTCACCACCTGACCACTCCCACACATATTGCTCGTCATCGTTACTCTTGGAGACAACCTCCACCCTGTCCGCAACAAGGAAGGCCGAGTAGAAACCCACACCAAATTCACCAGCCATCACCATGTCAGCGGCACCGTCTTTCAGCGCCCCCATGAAGGCTCTCGTGCCCGAGTACGCAATTCTACCCAAATTGTTCACCAACTCGTCTTTCGTCATACCAACACCCGTGTCCATGATGGCGAGTGTGGCATCAGCCTTGTTCGGCACAATCTACGTAGAAAATCGCAGTGTCAAACAATCACACACTCTAAACGTATGCACAGATAAGTTTATGTGAAGAAAAAGGACAAAAACGGTCACCCTGATGCACATTTCTGCATTCGTCTCAAGTACTGACGGTTGCGTGAGACTCTTGTAGCGAAGCTTGTCCAAAGCATCGGAAGCGTTGGAGACCAATTCTCGCAGGAAGACGTCTTTCGTGGGGTAGAGGGCATTGACCAGCACATTCAGCAATTGGCGAGTGTCTGCTTGAAAGGCGAAAGTCTCTACCTTCTGCTCTGTTGCATCGTCAGTTGTGGCTTCCTGGTCAGACATTGTAGCACGCGAAAACGAGCAGTGCAGAGGAAAATCGATCGACGCGATTATTTCTAAAACACCAACTATCAGCTCCGCCAACCAGATTGCAGGAGCATGACTAAGTACAACACGATTGGCCAAGGCAAATCGCCGCATCCACCGAAGACACAACTGCCTGAACGGTGGGACTCATGTCCCGTTTTGCCGCCTGTTTTCGCCTGCGCGAATGCATGGCCTACCCCTTTCCACAGACCCTGTGATTCGCTACTCAACCCATTTCCCACTTTATTCGTGCCGGCACGCCACGAAGTCACAGAACGCGCCAATGCCATTGCTAAGGGGCCAGAAGTAATGCATTTGCTTATCTCACTAATGTAGGATGGGCGAACAATTACAGCCTACGTGTAATAGCGAAGTTGCAGGAATATCGGCAGTTAATGACAAGACGAATGGTGGTGGCAGTGGTAGCGATTGACAAGTAAATTTGCCCACTGAGATATCGCCTCGCATTCCACACTATTCGGCGCTGAGCGATCAATGGCAGACTGCTTGTCCAATTGACGTTCCCAAATGGGCATGGAGCATAGTCCGTCACCTGCAATGTACACCTCATTCTCAGTGTCAACTATACACATCCGCGGACACTCCAGTGCTCTCGTTGACGGACCACCTAGCCATCGTGACAGTAATTGCATTGCGGATGATCGTAAAACCAGCAAAAGCGACTTGTTTACTGCCACGTTTAATTAAAGGGCTTTCCATTAAGTGAGGCGGCGCGTTCAACAACAAATAAGGTGCATTGCTTCGACCTCCTTTGAAAGTAGTAGGAAGTCACCTCCATCCAACATCGTTAACCAACTGCACTGTAGAGGCCACGAACTGCCGCGTTTCGCAGCATTGCCTCCAGCCATTTCAAGTCACCAACACGAAACACCGACTAGGCATTGGCATCCACCGCGTCGATTTGACAGAAGTGAGAGGGAACGTGTTGTCACTCGTCAGACATTACGATTGGGGCAGGACAGAGTAGGGCACATTAGAGCAGTGCAGGGTAGCAATTCATTCTCACTACTCGAGATCCCAATGACCCACTTATTTCACTAAGGCAAACACGAATACCACAGCCACAGCTAGGTGGGACTCAGTCATCAAGGCACTCCAATTCCATCACATGCAGGGATGGCCAATTGTGCCAACTGCCACCCAGCAGTCCACCATGGGGTGGGTCACGCTTCCACGAGACATACACGAGGTACTGCAAAACGGATGCCACATCGCGGTAACAGGTCTCCGCTTTAACGGCCATGTAGTCAACAGGCCACCACAGCATAGCTGTGCCATTCCCAATGCCAACCTTCGAACATCGCGACCCCACCACTCGGTGGGATATCCACCACTAGCACATGCCAGCGCTCTCCTAATGGTGACAGCCAAGACTAATCCTGTTACCACCTCGAGTCAAGATGGCGTCATGAGCCACATGCCACAACTTCCATCCGCCCCAATTCAACTCCCCATCAAACACCATCCCAGCGGCAACCACAATCGTGTTGCAACTCGCTGAAACGTTTAGAGGCACCATGTTACGTAACGGTCACACTTCAACCACCTACCTCCTCGCCACAAGGCCAGCACGACCGCTACTCAACGCTAACAGCTCACACACCATTGATCGGCCTCTTCCACTAGAAGCGATCCCAATTCAACACATCCCAGAATTGCACAATCCCCACCAGTACCTACAAACCCCAACAATCACATCTGCGACAGTCAACCACCTGCAATCCCAGTACCCTAACCCACCGGTCACCACCCACCTCACCATCCGCCCTACCACAAATCCCACCCACCCCTCACCACACCGTGTACAGGGCCTTTCAAACACCACCTCACATTCCATCGGCAACCGCAAACCAACACCATCATCAACAACCGACTTCACGCGAGCCAACGCCGGACACCACCAACCCAACCTCGGACAAACAGGCAATCCCAACGTCACGTAATGCAGCACAACACCAAGTACATCTCCCTACATTTCTATTCAAAACTCAAGTACACCCTATCAACGGTAAGACAGTAGATACACCTATACACACATAAACACACACCCGACATATACAGAGGCAAAATGAGGTAGCGACATTCAGTCCACCTCTTCAATGGTGGGACCACGGCCTCCAGAGCTTGCATCACCACTCATACCACCAGCCATGCCGCCTGGCATTCCACCTCCTGGCATGCCACCCGGCATTCCACCTCCCGGCATGCCACCCGGCATTCCACCCACACCACCTGCCTCCTGGTACATCTTCGCGATTATGGGGTTGCACACACTCTCCAACTCCTTCTGTCTGTGCTCGTACTCCTCCTTCTCCGCCTGCTGATTGCCATCCAACCACTTTACCGTCTCCTCACACTTCTCCATTATCCTCCTCCGATCCGACTCTCCTATCTTCTCCTTCACCTTCTCATCCTCCACCGTCGACTTCATGCTGAACGCATAACTCTCCAATCCATTCTTCGCCGCCACCCGATCTCTCTGCTTCTCATCCTCCTGCTTGAACTTCTCCGCGTCGTTCACCATCCGCTCTATCTCCTCCTTCGACAAACGACCCTTGTCGTTCGTTATGGTTATCTTGTTCTGCTTACCCGTCGACTTGTCCACCGCCGACACATTCAGGATGCCGTTGGCGTCTATGTCGAATGTCACCTCTATCTGAGGCACACCACGTGGCGCCGGTGGGATACCCGACAACTCAAACTTCCCCAACAAATTGTTGTCGCGCGTCATCGCACGCTCACCCTCGTACACCTGGATCAACACACCCGGCTGATTGTCCGAATACGTCGTGAACGTCTGCGTCTGCTTCGTCGGAATCGTCGTATTCCGCTTTATCAACGCCGTCATCACACCACCCGCCGTCTCCAGACCCAACGACAGTGGCGCCACATCCAACAACAACAAATCCTGCACTGCCTCCGACTTGTCACCTGTCAGAATGGCCGCCTGCACCGCCGCACCGTACGCCACCGCCTCGTCCGGGTTTATCGACTTGTTCAACTCACGCCCATTGAAGAAGTCCTGCAACAACTTCTGCACCTTCGGAATACGCGTCGATCCACCCACCAACACTATCTCGTGCACAGCACCCTTGTCCAACTTCGCGTCGCGCAACGCCTTCTCCACCGGATCCAGCGTGCTACGAAACAGGTCCGAACACAACTCCTCAAAACGAGCTCGTGTTATCGACGTGTAGAAGTCGATGCCCTCCAACAACGAGTCTATCTCTATGTTCGCCTGCGCACTCGAACTCAACGTCCTCTTCGCTCTCTCACACGCCGTTCGCAGACGCCGCACTGCTCTCTTATTCGTCGTCAAATCCTTCCCCTTGTGCTTCCGCTTGAACTCCTCCACAAAGTGATTCACCAATCGCGAATCAAAATCCTCACCACCCAGGTGCGTGTCACCAGCCGTCGACTTCACCTCGAATATCCCATCCTCTATGGACAGGATGGACACATCGAAGGTGCCACCACCCAAGTCGAAAATGAGCACATTGCGCTCCCTCTCCACCTTCTTGTCCAACCCATACGCAATCGCCGCCGCCGTCGGCTCATTGATTATCCGCAGCACATTCAATCCCGATATTGTACCCGCATCCTTCGTCGCCTGACGTTGACTGTCGTTGAAGTACGCCGGCACCGTGATCACTGCATCGCTCACCTTCTTCCCCAAATACGCCTCCGCCGTCTCCTTCATCTTCAACAGCACCATCGATGATATCTCCTCCGCACTGAAACACTTCGTCTCACCACGGTACTCCACCTCGATCTTCGGCTTGCCTCCCGCATTTATCACCTTGAACGGCCAGTGCTTCATGTCGTCCTGCACTGCCCTGTCGTCGAAACGACGTCCGATCAGACGCTTCGCATCGAACACTGTATTCGTCGGGTTCATGGCCACCTGGTTCTTCGCCGCATCCCCAATCAGACGCTCCGTATCCGTGAACGCCACATAACTCGGCGTCGTGCGGTTGCCTTGGTCATTCGCGATTATCTCCACCTTGCCGTGTTGAAACACACCAACGCACGAGAACGTTGTTCCCAAATCAAT